AATAACATAATCTAATGCATATGATCAAATCTAAATATAACAAATCTAAAACTAAATATTAAAAATCTCTTGACACCCCTCTCAAACTCGAGTGGGATCGCAGAAATCAACTTGAGTGTGACAAGAAAGTTAAACAAAAACCAAAAGACGCAAACGCATATAACAGTTGTTTGGTCCGTCGTTGTCGCCGCCTCTCTCGACTGAGCTCCTATTCTCACACATAATAGTTGCTCGTCTGATGTCGCCTTTGCCGCTCTCAACTAAGCTCCTGTTCTCGAAAGCAGAAATGAATTCTAATGCAAACGCAAATAACAGTTTCTTTGTCCGTCGTTGCCGCCGCCGCTCCCGATTGAGCTCCTATTCTTGCATATAATAGTTGCTCGTCCGACGTCGCCTTTGCCGCTCTCAACAAAGCTTATGTTTTCGAACACATACACAAACTCTACTGCAAACACAAATAATAATTGCTTTGTCCGTCGTTGCCGCCGTCGCTCCCGACTGAGTTCCTATTCTCGCAGATAATAGTTGTTCGTCCGATGTCGCCTTTGCCGCTCTCAACAAAGCTTATGTTCTTGAACGCAGACATAAACTCTAATGCAAATGCAAATAACAATTGTTTTGTCCGTCACTGCCACCGCCGCTCCCGACCGAACTTCTGTTCTTGCACATAACAGTTGCTCGTCCGACGTCGCCTCCGCCACTCTCAACAAAGCTTTTGTTCTTGAATGCAGACACAAACTCTAAAGCAAACTCAAACTCGGATAAAATTGTAGACATATCTGAAAATCAAAGACCTCCGGGTACATTCAACCAGCAACGAGATTTAGTAGGCTATGTCTATCCCAAGAAAAAAATAGGCCCTGATACCATGTTAAAATATTTTATGGAAACTTTAAAGCTTGCATTATTGATAATCAAAATAACGAACCTATGTATAGGCAACCTAAAACAGACTCGATAGACTCAAATCTAAATAACGTAATCTAATGAATATAACAAAATCTAAATCTAAATCAAACAAATTTAAAACTAAAACATATTCTAAAATGCTGGTAAAGAAGATTACCCTAGAAAACTTTGAACTTTAGTAAATTTTTATTTCAAAAATAAATTTTAAAACAACTTCTACTAACATCTTAAAAAACATAAAACAACATTTTCATATTTTGAATACTCATATTCCGAACATAGCATACCAATTTAAGATTATTAATTTTTCTTAATTAAAATATCATTACATCAATTTTTAAATTTTTATTTCTAAACTATTCTCATTCAATATAAATCATATGATTAAATTTTATATCGATCAGACTGATGTTATAAGATCGGGATATTGTTGAACTTATAACATGTTCGATAGAATACCGGCATATATATGATTCATTAGAAGTTTTTAAACCCCATTGTGATTAAGTTAGGACATTAGGGTGTTTGATGAATCATAAGAACCCAAATTAGTTGCATTTAGGTATATTTTAAGTTTAAAATTGTTTTTAAGAACAATAAATGAAAATAGATATTTCAAAATTATATATAATATTTTAAATGAATAATAAAGTTGTCCATGAATTTTTACATAACAAAGTTTTGATAAATCATACAAAAATTAAGTTGGAAACATAAATAAAAAAGGACAAAGTCAATATATTTTTAATATAAATATATATATTGACGTGATGTTTCAAATATAAAATTATACTCCATTTGATGATACATTTTTATTTTAGTCTGTTTTGCAATAGGTGACACATGAATTAACTTAATTAAATTCTTACAAGCGTGACCGCTCAAAAATCTTTTATTTTTATATCTCCTCAATACACAAATATTTTTATCTATATTTAAAATACTTTATTTTTTTTATAACATTAGTTTATGTTGACCATAAATAATTAAAAATATTTTTTATGTAATTGTATTATATAAATTTTGTTTTCTACAAAATGGTATCAATATTGTATATATTATATTGAGAAAATAATATTTAATATTTAAATACACATTCTAAACTTTTTTAATCATATACTCCCTGAGTCTCAACTACAAAGTTGATATTTAGTTTTTACCGTTAATATTTGAATATTAATTATATCAAAATATAGTACAAATATATTATCATACAAATATAATTACATTTGTATAATAAATTATACAAATATAAAAATATTTTTAATGTTAAATACAATTATGCAAAATATAAATATAAACTTATTAAATAAACGAAGTTATTATTAGTTTTTATTATAAAAATATTAACATAATCACTTATATAAAAAAATAATAAAATAATATAATAACCTACTATATTTCTTTAAATACATGTCAGTAATCAAACCCATTTATCGGATGGAGTTAATATTTTAGTATAATATAATAAATAAAAAAAATATTTAATTTCATATTATTTTGAAAAAGAAATTAAAATAGTAAAATCGGTACAAAACATTTACAAGTAAACACATCTATAATTTTCAATATATATGCATAAATTTCCATCAAAATTTTAATTTATGTATAAATATATGGACTCTTCACATGATTTTGCCCAGTACAATATTAATTTATTGAATAAATATTTATAAATTATAATGTTGATATAATTAGTCAATAATACTATCTCCGTCCGGCTTTAAGAGTCGCATTTACTTTTTGCGTGTTAATTTTTAAATATTAATTATTATATCAAAACATAGTACAAATTAAAAAAAATTACAAAAATACTTTTATTAATGTCTTGTAATATTGATAAAAAGACATTTGTAAAAAATTATACAAATATAAAAATATTTTTAATTTTAAGTACAATAACCAAAAAATAAATATGACTCGCGGACGAAGAGAGTATATTTTATTAAAATATTATCCACGAATGTTTTTTATATTATTAAATATGCGTGTAAAAATAAAAGATATTTTATTTTCATAATATCACTGTACAGTTATTAAATTAGTTAATTATGATACTTACATGATATGCTGGTTGGAAGCATAAAACTTCCCCATAGGTTATAGATAATTTTAGACGAGTTTAAATAATTTTAATTATTTTAAAATAATTTATCGATAATGCAGTATAGGTTATAGATAATTTGGGACTAAGTTTAAATGTTTTTAATTATTTTCTAATAATTTATCTATAATGGAGTATAGGTTATAGATAATTTTGGACGAGTTTAAATATGTTTTCTAAATATTAAATTTTGAAAGTAATTATAAAAAAAATTAATATATTATTTTCTCGAGAATTTAGATAAATAGTATTAAATAGGATAATTTAAGAATTAGGTAACAAGAGAAAAAAAAAATATATATTTATTTTTGTTTACTATTGTGATAGGATAAAATATGTGCTTAGAAATTAAATACTCCCTCCTTTTCGTAACTAAATTTCAATTTACTTTTTGAATGTTAGATATTTGGATATTTATTATTATATCAAAACTTAATACAGATCAAGGAAAAATTACAAAAATATTTCTATTAGTGTCTTACAATACTAATATAATGATATTTGTATAAAAAATTATACAAATATAAAAATATTTTTAATGTTAACACTACAATAAAAAATCATTTTTGTAACAAAATTTTTTTGTCTCTAAATTTACTTTTTTGTAACAATTAGGAATGAAATTACGTTAGCTACGTGAACTTTTGGGACGGAATTCCGTTACAAATATATTATTTTTTTTAGTGTAAGTAAAATGACGCAGAAGGTAAATAGATACCTTGTTATGGGAAGGAGGAAGTATATTTAATTATTTTATATTTAAAAATATTGTAGAGTGTTTGGAGATGACACAAAATATTACATAGTGTTTAAGTCCTTGCGAGTCTTGTACCATAGGCTAAGGAGTAAGGGGCCTTTTCAATAAGGCTCGCATAGGGGCCTTTTTCAGCCGAATATTTTTTCAGTTGGTAAAGACCCGCCCCTTGTTTCAGTCAGAATGAGTCCCCGGGACCCCGGGATATTGGCTTCCGCCAACGGTGAACTATTAAGGATCGTATCCCGCGCATATTCTACATTATAGCCTTCAATTGATTCTTTATTTTTATAAAAGCGTGAGTAGCAAACCGTTTGGAGTATTTCATATTTTAATGTAAATGTTAAATCTACATGTTATAAATTATACATACTAACAGAAAAAAAAAAAAAATAATTGAATAATACTGTAAATGAATTGACAATATATATAATACATGTTTTAAAAACACTTTATAATACCATGTGCTATTTGTCTTTATTTGTATCTTAACTGCCTTCATATATATTAACCAATTTTTTATCGCAAAATTTTAATTTAAAAACTGAAAGTAAAAGAAAATAATCTATCTTAAATAAAACCCTTATTTCCGACGTCTTGCCTCTGCCTCTAGTTGGGTAAAAAAAAAAAAAACGAGTAAGGGTGTGTTTGTTTGAAAGATTTGGAAGAATTTACACTATTCATATAAATTTTTCCTCGCAAAAATATAAAATCAAATGCTTATTTTTTATTTTTTACACTCCTTCTGTCTGCCTCTAAGGATCGCATATACCTTTTGCATCATTGTATTTAACATTAAAAATATTCTTATATTTATATAATTTTTTGTACAAATATCATTTTATTAGTATTATAAGATACTAATAGAAGTATTTATGCAATTTTTTCTAAAATTTTATTATATTTTGATATAATAATTAATATTCAAATATCAATATGAAAAAAGTAAATGAGATCCTTAGAGCCGGACGGAGATCGTATTATATTAAAAATTAATTTACATTCAAAACATTACATCAATCCTTATTTATATTACATCGTACCACTATTTCAATTCAAATTTGTTACTATTCAAATCTCAATGCAAAATCCAAACCCGCGTACAAACACACCCTAAAAGTAAGATCAAAAGAGGACAATCGTTGTCGTTAGTAAAATTTAAATTGAATCAAATGAAAACATTTTTCCATGACACAAAGTCTCGTACATATCTATAAATAGACATACATTTCTTTCTATACACATTCACACAAGAAAACCCTAAGTATGGCAAAAACCCTAATCTTAACAACATTTCTCCTATTCACTTGTATAATTTCATGCTCAGCTGACGAGTGTCATGACATATTACAAGACTTTTACCCCGACTTGCGAATCTATAGGAATGGATCCCTAGTCCGATTCAGGACCGAGGAATTTGTCATGCCGTTCCCCGACGGCGATCCGAAGACGGGAGTTCGATCCAAAGACGTGATCATCGATGAAGCCCGTAACCTCTCCGCCCGGATCTTCATGCCGGTGGATATCCCTCATCCGTGGAAGAAGCTCCCCGTCCTCATCTACTACCACGGCGGCGGGTTCATAAGCGGAAGCCCCTTCTCGCCGACATACACAAACTACGTCAGTTCCGTCGTCGCCAGAGCCAATGCCATCGCCGTGTCGGTGAATTACCGGTTGGCCCCCGAATTCAGGCAACCGATCGGGTACGAAGACGCGTGGGTCGCACTCAAGTGGGTGTTTTCCCACGCCCAGTCGCACGGTGCGCGAGGGCCCGAGCCGTGGTTGCGAGAGTATGGGGATTTCCATAGGGCTTATGTAGGTGGGGACAGCGCCGGAGGCAATATCGCACACAATACGGTTTTGCGCGCCGGAATAGAGAGGGCAAGCCGGATTTTTCTACAAGGTATATTTATGAATGCCCCGAATTTTTGGGGAAGTACTCGGATTGGCGGAGAGGAGAAGAGGTACGAGTGGGTTGTGACGAGGAGCTACTTATGGTTGCTTGTGTACCCAAATGTCCCCGCCACATTCGACTTCCCGGCAATAAATCCAAGCCTCGATCCGAATATACATAGGCTAGGCGCGAAAAAGTTGCTTCTGTATGACGGGGGGGAAGATGTCCTTGTCGACCGCGCACGTCTTTACGAGGAAACATTAAGGAAGAGTAGGTGGGGTGGATCGATTCAATTTCACGTGATCCCAGGCCAGGATCACCAGTTTGATATAAACAACCCGAACACGGATGACGCTCGGAGGATGTTGGATATCGTCGTTTCGTTTATTAGCTCCGACAATGCCATTTAGGCGGCGTCTGTAAAATTAACAAGCTCGAGCTCGTGCGTCCGTAATGCCATTTAGGCGTCAGTAATGCCATTTAGGCCGCGTCTGCAGAATTAAAAAGCTCGAGCTTGTGCATGAGCATATAATTACATAATATATTTGTGGATGTGTAATAGTGATGGATGATTGTGTTTTCGTTGATGTTTGTTTTGTGTGTTGTTGTGAAGTTCTAATGAATAAAATGTGTGTTTTATATGAATTTATTTGATTATATAATTTTTTCTTTCTTTTTTTTTTTTTTTTTTTTTTTTTAATGAAATGACATTGTGGTAATGCCATCTACTTCTAAATAAAAAGAATACGAATTAGGGTTTTTATTTATACTAATATATTCTTTTTATTTATACTAATATGTTTTATTTGATTCTTATTTACAAGAAAAACAACAATAATGTTTTGTCAATCATCTGAGCAAGCTTCCCAGAATGTTTGTGATTCGTTGATCTTTCAATCCAACGGTTAGATAATGTAATAGATTGTTTTGTTTGTAATCTTAATCTTAATTTTTCTTAAGTTTATAATTTATATCGATTGATACATGTGATTGGGGCGTGTTTACATACATTCTTGAAAGGACTCTTATATATAACTTGATCGTAATATATTTTCTTCTTTGATTTGGTTGACCATTGATTTTTATTTTATCTTAAAAGGCTTTTTATGTTAAAATTTTTCGTATTTTTTTATATTTTATTTACAATATATTTCATTATTGTTTCTCATATTTTTTTTAAGGGAATTATGTTTTCTATTAACATGCATGATGAAATTCTTACAATAATTTTTTTTTTTGTTTAATTTTAAAAAGTTTAAAGTTAATTATGTATAAATCAACTATCATATTATATTGTTTTCGTTAGTCTTAGTTGTTATATATCTGTTTTATGTTCTACTAATCTATTATAATATTAATGCCTTGATAAAAATAAAAATAAAAAATAAAAAAATAAATAAAAGTAAGAACTCAAAAAGTAAGAAGCAAAGAAAGAATGTATGTATTTTTTTTTTAATATTTATTCTATTTTTTTCTCAAATAATTTTTTTCATTCTTAATTGTATATGTATTTTTCCATGTTAACTTGATTTTTAATATAATATTTTAATATATATTTTTTTATTTTGTAGACCATGTTTAAATTTTTGATTTTTTTTTTTTTAAACATTATTTGAAAAATTCATACAGAAAATTACAAAAAGTTTTAACACATAAAAATTTTATTTTTCTTGTATTCTTATTGTGTATGTAGTTTTTTAAATTATTTATTTTGCTATTTTTATTTTATATAAATTATATATTTTTTAAATTTTCTTGTGTATATTATTTTTCAACTTGATTTTATTTGAATAATATATTATATATAAAAAATATAAATATTATTTATAAAAAAAATTAAATTACTATATAATTTAATATAAAAATAACCCGTGCATAGCACGATATTGATTTAACTTTGTTGGTACAAATATATTATGCAAACAATACATAGATAACAATACATGATAATAAAACATACAACATAATATACTATTGACTTCTAATACAATAGACATATATATATATTGTACATTACAATATGCAAATTGCACGGCACATCCTTCTATATAGCACAACATTCTGTTATCTGCCTTATAGTTGGCTGTCAATAGCCGCAGTTAGTATGCTGACTTGATCAAATCAGTATTATATTTATCCGATCAACTCAGTATCCTAAGTGTCGTCTACATTATACCATGCACTAAAAATACTTCAATAAAGCAACATCATACAATTTAAACTTTTGTAACTAGATGAATTGATTAAAGCGAATGTCCTAGACAAGATTACGATTTAATTTTGTTTTATTATTGAATTAATTATTTTTGTTAAGAACTATAGTCACAACACACATTATTGACAGAAAACATGAAATATAAATATAATAGAAATGCAATTGAACTAACATTATATAAAAATAGTCCACAATGCAGATATTATCATTGAATTCTACACAAAAGATATATGTTCATGCATCATATTCTTTTTGTCAATAAAACCAATATATTTTTTCAAAAAAATTAATATACTACATACGTTCATTATTTTTATTTTCTCTATACAATTCTTTATACCTCACATAAAAAAAAATACACATTCGAATCATTTTGAGGAAAAAAAAAAAAAAAAACTCATAATGATATATTTTTTGTTAATTTATGAACATTCACACACTTAATAACTTTCAACAAATAATCGACATTTTAAATTGGGTGCATTAATATAGTAGTAGTGGGCCTTGAAAGGTGTTGATACTAACAATGAATACAATTTAGACATACAAGAAAGAAAGAAATAAGCATATGACAATAAATGTGTCATCATACAAAAATGCATGTACTTACATATTATTTCTTGGACTTAACCCCAAAGTTTGGATATTTTACAAAATTTGATGATATGAACCAAGGGATATGGAATAAAGGAAAGGACTTTTATTTTACCTTTTTTATCGGGCATGCACACGCACCCATTCAAGATTGAAATTGAAACGTATCCCATAAATAAGAATGTCTGACAACTTGATTTATAAGGCTTTGGCCGAATAAAAGAGAAGTTGAAACACCCAAGAAAGAGGATTGTGGAGAAATTTGGTGTGTTTTGTTACGGGTTAAGTTTTAAGTTGAAAATGGTGTTGGAAGTGAATTATGTTATTAATATTTAATTTGTGATGTAATATATATGATTTTAAAAAAATTAAATATATGATTAAATGTTCTAACAACTATATGTTTCAATAACGATGGAAAATGAAATATTAATTGAGGAAGGAATAAAAGAAGGGAATGCATAAGAGAGCAAGAAATATGATCAACACCCCTCAATTTCCATGATGTAGCTTCTTTTTTTTTTTTTTTTTTTTCCGTTAGTTTGTATTTTCTTGCACTAAGCATTTTATCTTATCACAGAAACTCTCCATTAAAAAGGCCACAGAGATCCAACAGAAAATGACTACTCAATAGAAATTTTCTGAACAAAAAGGAGATCAAAAACAGAAAATTTAAGTGCCAAAGAAATCAGTTCTGATGATGTTATTTGATATGATTACAATGATTTTGGATACATCTGATCCGAATATCCAACGACAATGAAGAAAGATAACAAGACAATGAATGTTACATAGAGTGACGATGAAAGCAATGTTGAAGGATCAAACTCATAGGCTCAAAATGATAATCAAAATGTAGTTTTTTTTACTCTACACAACATCGAAAGTGTGGTTAATGATGACAATAATAGCACTAATGGTTCTTGAGAAATTAGGCGATGCATACAGAGAAATTGTTGATGAATTGACAATTCTCTTATAAGAAATGATTATGTTAAAGGTTATGATGAAATCTAGAAGGAAAGATTGAGTAGTTGACCTAGGACAATACAAAAATGATCAAAATGGATGATGAACTGTGCACCAATTATGTAAAGGTATCTTATTAAGTTGCAAGTTCGAGTAGTTGACCTAGGACAATACAAAAATGATCAAAATGGATGATGAACTGTGCACCAATTATGAAAAGGTATCTTATTAAGTTGCAAGTTCGAGAAAGAAAGTCCAAGAACTTTAGCAAAAAAAAATCAACTCTACACAACATCGAAAGTGTGGTTAATGATGACAATAATAGCACTAATGGTTCTTGAGAAATTAGGCGATGCATACAGAGAAATTGTTGATGAATTGACAATTCTCTTATAAGAAATGATTATGTTAAAGGTTATGATGAAATCTAGAAGGAAAGATTGAGTAGTTGACCTAGGACAATACAAAAATGATCAAAATGGATGATGAACTGTGCACCAATTATGTAAAGGTATCTTATTAAGTTGCAAGTTCGAGTAGTTGACCTAGGACAATACAAAAATGATCAAAATGGATGATGAACTGTGCACCAATTATGAAAAGGTATCTTATTAAGTTGCAAGTTCGAGAAAGAAAGTCCAAGAACTTTAGCAAAAAAAAATCAACTCTACACAACATCGAAAGTGTGGTTAATGATGACAATAATAGCACTAATGGTTCTTGAGAAATTAGGCGATGCATACAGAGAAATTGTTGATGAATTGACAATTCTCTTATAAGAAATGATTATGTTAAAGGTTATGATGAAATCTAGAAGGAAAGATTGAGTAGTTGACCTAGGACAATACAAAAATGATCAAAATGGATGATGAACTGTGCACCAATTATGTAAAGGTATCTTATTAAGTTGCAAGTTCGAGTAGTTGACCTAGGACAATACAAAAATGATCAAAATGGATGATGAACTGTGCACCAATTATGAAAAGGTATCTTATTAAGTTGCAAGTTCGAGAAAGAAAGTCCAAGAACTTTAGCAAAAAAAAATCAACTCTACACAACATCGAAAGTGTGGTTAATGATGACAATAATAGCACTAATGGTTCTTGAGAAATTAGGCGATGCATACAGAGAAATTGTTGATGAATTGACAATTCTCTTATAAGAAATGATTATGTTAAAGGTTATGATGAAATCTAGAAGGAAAGATTGAGTAGTTGACCTAGGACAATACAAAAATGATCAAAATGGATGATGAACTGTGCACCAATTATGTAAAGGTATCTTATTAAGTTGCAAGTTCGAGTAGTTGACCTAGGACAATACAAAAATGATCAAAATGGATGATGAACTGTGCACCAATTATGAAAAGGTATCTTATTAAGTTGCAAGTTCGAGAAAGAAAGTCCAAGAACTTTAGCAAAAAAAAATCAACTCTACACAACATCGAAAGTGTGGTTAATGATGACAATAATAGCACTAATGGTTCTTGAGAAATTAGGCGATGCATACAGAGAAATTGTTGATGAATTGACAATTCTCTTATAAGAAATGATTATGTTAAAGGTTATGATGAAATCTAGAAGGAAAGATTGAGTAGTTGACCTAGGACAATACAAAAATGATCAAAATGGATGATGAACTGTGCACCAATTATGTAAAGGTATCTTATTAAGTTGCAAGTTCGAGTAGTTGACCTAGGACAATACAAAAATGATCAAAATGGATGATGAACTGTGCACCAATTATGAAAAGGTATCTTATTAAGTTGCAAGTTCGAGAAAGAAAGTCCAAGAACTTTAGCAAAAAAAAATCAACTCTACACAACATCGAAAGTGTGGTTAATGATGACAATAATAGCACTAATGGT